CTTGTGATTAAGCACCATATTTCAGGGGACAGATTTTGAAAGGAATATATGAGATGAAAAGTCACAGAAAAATATTCAATTTCTGTTTTAATTTAGCAAGTTCTTAGTGTTTGGTGAGGGGATGGTGGCGTGATGCCCAGTGTATCTTGTTAACCTGATTTCACATTAATTCAGTACTTTTATTAAATCTCACATGTTTCTGTTTGGGAATTTTTTCCTAAAAAAAAAGTTACCTGAAATTATCACTGTATTAAAGAGGATAGCTTCAGTATGTTTGTGTCTTTATGATATGTAAATCAAATCTGTCCATTCAAACTAAATAAACAAGAGTGCAAAAGATCAGTTCTCTGTTTGATGTAGTTTGTTTTAAGGTTCTGGGCTGTTTTTATTTGTTAACATAGATGTAAATAACTGAGTTATTTTCAAAGCATCCAGTAAGCTCCTTATCTAAATGAACTGTTTTTCCCTGCAATCATTGGGACTTTGTAGAAATAGTGTTTATACGTAAAGTTCTTTTTTTTCTTTAATAATGCTATTAATCTACAGTATGAAATCAAGGCCAACCTATTAATAAAGGAACTACAAGTAATGTGAATTATTAGAAAGCATAAGGTTGCATCTTTTACATTTCTAATTCTAATATATAACAAAGTATCTCCTATAGTATTTTTTTAAAATACTTTAAGAATAAAATAATCTAAATGGATTGGAAATACTAGTGGTGATGGTTGCACAACACTGAGAATGTAATTAATGCCACTGAAGTGGACACTTAAAAATGGTTAAAATGGCAAGTTTTATGTTACATATATTTTACTACAACCTTTTTAAATAGAAAACATTTAAATAATTTAATATTTTTAAATATCAAGTAAAATATTTCTCAAGTACTAAAAGTAGGAGAGCATTGTGCAGTTTAAGATGTAATGTCAGGACTTCCCTGGTGGTCCAGTGGTAAAGAATCTGCCTTCCAATGCAGGGGGACGCAGGTTCGATCCCTGGTGGGGGAACTAAGATCCGACATGCCGTGGGCCAGCTAAGCCCATGCCACAACTACTGAGCTCACGCCTCAGTGAGAGAGCCCACACGCCCTGGAGCCAGCACACCACAACTACAGAGAAGCCTGCATGCCACAACAAAAGATCCCGCGTGTGGCAGCTAAGACACGACACAGCCAAAAAAATAAACAAGAAAATAAATAAAAAATTTTTTAAATGTAATGCCACATGCATTATCTTATTTTCTCCCCATCTTTTTGTGCCATATTTGTCTTCTGTCAATTAAATTCACATTAAATTTTCTATAGGACAAATAGTTTTACTGGCTGTTCAGAAAATTTCAACGTACATAAGATGTCATAGTCCCCTCTAAAACAATGTGATCGTTTTTAAAAATTAAGATTTCTTTGGAAAATAGTTGCTGTGATTTCAGTTCTACTTTCTACTTTAAAAATTCATTTGTTGCTTCTTCTGAATCACGTGACTTCAAATCTGCCACGCTTTGAAAGTTTTCCGGGCAATCTATTACTTTCCGAAGTCATGTCTAATAGCGTAAGTGATGGGGACAGTGTTTACAACATTCTGAAGAAGCTGATCTGTCTCTCTGGGGATCATTAAGCTGTGTATCCTCCAGTGGAAAAACCAAAGTGATACTTCAATCATTTTGATTTCTAAATGCTTAAAGACTCAAAAAAAAATTCATGTTATGATATTGCTATTGTTTAAGTAGTACTTGATTTCTTTTTCAGATTTTTCTATAAAGACTAATCAAAGATGTTTAAAGAAATACGTTTTAAATAAGACTGTTTCAGCAAAATGTGAGTCACTGTTACATAATTTTTTTTTTTTTTTTTTTTTTTTTTAGTTACGTTTTATTTTCTGCAGTAATAAACACTGAAGCATCCCACTCCTCAAGCTGCAGGGAAACAAAACAAGTGAACCAAGAGATACCAAGGGCCAGTAGAGGCAAAAAATTAAACCCAAATAACAAAGTAGCAATTACTCTAAGTTTGAATTCCCTATGCCTTCCCTAGTAGGGGACACAAGGTTAGGCCACAGCCCCATTTCCTCCGCCTAGCCTTTGGGAAGGCAGGGGCCCAAAGCGCCGAATATTCCTAATTACCAGGGAGAGCTGATCCAGGAAGGAGTTGATGGAAATCCGGAAGAGGACAAGGTCTTCAGCAGTCCGTCTAATAGCCAGGGTACTGCCATTCACTGTATATTCCTCATGAATCATGCCTTGGTGGCATTAGGCATCTGGGATCAGAGAACTGCGGGGCATGTCTGCCCCCACCCCCCGGGGCGGGGCGGTCAGAAAGGCACTGTGAGTGTGAACACCAGCAGTCCACTTCCAGGCCCTACAGCCGCGGGTGCTGCATCTCCACCATGTCCTAGGGCACGTGGTGCCCGCTCACCCTTGGGACCAGTGGCAGCTGCTTCCATCACTGCTCCTCTGCCAGGCCCACCCCGGCCTTCTGGGTCCCGGTGACCACCCTCGCCTCCAGGGCTACCTGAACTACTCTGGCGATCAGGAGTTCCAGAGCTTTGCTCACCAACTCCGCCCCCTGCCCCTACAGCGCTGTCCCCCAGGGCCTGCACGGCCGCCGCGTCCCTCTCAGAGCTGAGCAGACACTTACATACATTTTTAAGTTATTTAAAATTTAAATGAAGAAAGTAGCTAGGTCCGGGTTGCAAGATTAAAAAAAGCAGCGTTTATGAATTTGCCTGTGATCACATGACATTTTGAACACAATGACATTCTGGTTTTGTCTTTAGCCTCAGCTTCCCATCAAAGCCTATCAGTGATGGAAGCAGTAACATCTGTCAAGCATGCACGCTGGCTGGCACATGGGAGTCACTGAAATAATTTAGATAGTTCCTTTCCCAAAATTTCTTCCTGATATTGTTGCTGAACAGATTAAGTGAAACAATGTATTGAAAGAGATTAGAACACAGTACTAGAAAAATATTTATCAGGTGTCCTGGGACCTAAATTACCAGAAAAAGAATAATAAGTGGGAAGTGACAGGAGGGCAAAACACTACTCAAGTACACTGGTCATAAATTAGATGATTAAAATGATTCAAAGCAAGTCAACATCTTAGATGATATTTATCAGTTTTACATGTGCCACCTCCCAGAGTGATCACAACAGTGCAATATTTTCAGTTCTGGGCTTGTATTTTAGATTTAAATTTTGAGCATATTTATTTGCTATGATCACATAAACTTCACGGAATGTTTTCTCAAACCGTAAGTACAATTTTAATATATCCAAGTGAATTAAAAATTTCTTCTCCATAGAAACATAATTTTAGGATGGAACTAAACAAGAATATTGGAGTCTATATGCAAAAAGGAAAAGAAAAAAAAACAACCCTATCTTACGTATGAGTTTATAAACCACAGCTATTCTATGTATACTTTTAATGGAACGTTCTAAAATCGTCAATATTTTTCAGTAAAGCCATCCACTACTCTGATCAAATTCTCCTCTTCTTAAACTATATTTTTCCATAAAATTTTTTTAATAAATAAATCTTTCTAAAGAAGTCTCATATATTAAAAAAAAAAAAAGAAGAAAAAAAAAGCTAAGTCTTAAAAGTATGTACTAGTTGAGTTCTGAGTAAACTGAGCCGAATTCTTCAGTATCATGTCCAACACTGATATCTTATGGAAACTTGGCTTTTATGTAATTCTTATCACAATTGCTCAATATGTTCATTTGCCTTCAACTTCCTTCTATTATTTTTACCCATCTTTATTTTTTTCTTACAATTCTATTTTTCCCCTTCCTCATATCAAACTGCAACTGGAAAATAGCTCACTCATTTCTTATTTTCAAATTTCAGTTTTTCTCTTTTGAGATACCAAGTAAGAAACATTCAAATGGTCTTCCCCTCTGTAATGTTTTGCCATTATAGGCTCTGAAAATGCTGCTTGATAGAACATTCATTTTAGAAGCACCTATGATCTGGCCAAATGCTAAAACATCTGGTAATAGAGTTCTTTCCTTGTCATATAAACATAAGTTGACTCATATTTTAAAATTGCTCTTTTGAGTAACAAACATATTCTACATATCATTCTTTCTTAAACAGTAATAACTTGTAGATGTTAAGGCTGTAGAGTAACAACCCATACTAGCACCAAAAGAAATTTATATTAAAAAAAATAATCTGACTTGGATAACATAATTAACTATGCTATAACTCTGTAATTATCACACTATTTTTTTCTCTCATTACATAATTTTTACATGTGGGGGAATTAAATAATCTAAAAGCTCTATGTGATTATCAGATGCTTTAATGGAGTAGGTGAACTTTAACATAGAATGCTTTCATTACCTTTTATGCAGAGTAAAGTGAGACCATCTCAATGGTAAACAAAAATGTTCTTCAGTAATTTCTCACCCTAGATCCATCAATAAGAACATTTTTGTCCATAGGTAAGTCAATCAGTATTTTTAATACACAGTGTCTTCATCTGTGTGGTAAGCTGAATAACAGCCACCCCTTTTCCTCCATAACCCCTTACCTGTGTCCTGATCCCTGTGAATGATAACTTACCTGGCAAAAGGGACGTCAAAGATGTGATTAAGTTAAAGATCTTGAGATGGGGAGACTATCCTGCGTTATCTGGGTAGACCCTAAATGTAATCACAGATATCCTTATAAGAGATAGGCCGAGGGAAATTTGACTACAGTAGAGGAAAAAGAGATGTGACCACAGAAGCAGAGACTGGAGTAAGGAAGCCAGGAGCCAGGAGCCAGAAATGACAATAACTTCTAAAAGTAGAAGTAAGGATGGGCTTCCTCCAGAAGGAACCAGCCCTACAGACACCTTGATTTTAGCCCCTTTAGACTCATTTTGGACTTCTGATCTCTAGAACTAAAAGAGGATAAATTTGTGTTGCTTTAAGTTATTAAACTTGTGGTAATTTGTTATAGCATCTACAGGAAACTGATAAAAATCTATAAAAAGGAGCTTCAATTAAGTGACCCCCAAGAACTTTCTATAATTTGAGAAAACTGCTCTGCATTGTCAGCTGTGTGAATTTTTATTTTTAAGCATTTTTATAGGCATAACTTAAAGAAAATCATCTTTCATTAGTTATTGGAGAGGTGACATTCTTTGTTGTAATTAGTCTGTTGGGTGTTAACATCAAAAGGCAGCAAACATGAGGGGAGATAACTCTTTTAGTTTCCTTTACCAAGTTGAAGGAAAATGTTATGTTGTTGATTTCTATGTTTGAATAGCCAATTCAATTAGAAATTCAAAACACAAGAATCTTGCAGAAATCAGCTGCCAGATTTATTAATCTATCTGAAAATAAAAATACAACCAAACAAAAAGTAGAATAAGAACAGAACCAAAAAAAAAATATTTAGATACATTTCCCAAGAGTTTATAATGTAATGTCTTGAACCCTTCTGTATGAGAAATATACTTAATGTTGGCCAATTACTTACTTCATTCAGTGAGTTAGTACCGTAAACAGCAAAATATATAATTTGTCCTTAAATATTATATAATCAATACCAATTCTTCCTTGATTCCTTAAAATAACTCATAGCCCAATTTTCTCACTGTCAAACTAGAAGTTTTAAAAGAATAAAAGAAAGAGAAAAAAAAAGAATACTCCATATAATTTTCACTTAGATCATATTTTAAGGACCCACTTTCAATTTCTCCTTCAATTTCTCCACGTGTCAATTCTCTTTCCAGTAAAACTTTAGCTGAATATTTTAAAATCTGTTTTTATTCTACGTGCTGTAAATGGCCACATGAGCAAAGTGGGGGGAAAAAGTTCTGATTTTTAAGGCATATTTATTAGCCCATAATGGGCCTAATGCTATATAATGTAAATGTAGAACAAGCCTTGAAATCACAGGTTACATAGATGTGTTGAAATTAGAATGTTTTTTTTTTTGGTAGGATTAAATGTGAGTAGTATTGATTATGGTATGTGGGTTTCCCAATAACTGTTCAATTTAAAGACATGAGTTGTGATCCATGTCATGTTGGAAAATGGGTAGCCAGGAGATCATCTTTCAACAATTTTTCCTGTGTTCATCATGAAAAGCTTTTATAAGTCGATTTTGGCTTCGTGTTTAGGACTTTTTAAAAACTTTGCTACTGACTCTTTAAAAATTTTTGTTCCTCTGGGATACTGATGGAGTGAACAAAATTCTTGTTTCTTGCTTGAATCATTTTAGCAAGCTCTTCAGAGATACTGTAACACCATTTACTTATGGTTTTGTTATACCCTGCTTTCAGTATTTTCTCCAAATGCAAAACCAAACCAAAACAAAAACCTTTGAAACTTTAAGTCTTTAAATCTTCTTTCAAACAATCCAATCACATTTACACGAGTGTCCAAAACAAGATGATGGATAGTACCAGTGCCAGCACTATGACATACAGCAACTTCCACATATTCTTTGACAGTTTGTAAATAATTTTCCATTTCACCAAAAGTTACAAAATTTTCCACAGTTTCCCTTAGCAAGCTGAAGCTTACTATTCATTTTGTCAATGTGCATAAAAGCTGCTTATAGCATAGCATGGCATAAGCTATTTTTTAAGCAATAAATGGTTCGAGTCATCTATTTTGTCCTGAAATGCTATCTGTAGTTAACTGCATTGCTTATAAATGGTCATAGTAAATTCAGCATGAAAGAGAATATTACAGAAAAGACAGCAGCAGAAGCATTAGCATTATCTAATATTTATATATGTTTCAACATAACACAGCAGTAAAAGGTTTAAATGCATATCAATGGGTACCATGTCTAAAAATTACTATAGTACCTATTTAGTGTATTGGATATTTTTCTTAAGGAGTGCTTGCTGTATCTAGAACAGCATATTACGTGATTTAGTACAGTTAATTCTTATTGATGAAATAATGTTTTTACGTACTGAAGGAAGCGAAAGGAGACAGATATTTTTTGCTTCATTGTGATCCCAGATTTACCATTTAAATGAAGATCTCAAAGGACCATGAAAAATATCATTATTTAACTGAAATGAGCTTCAAAATACTTTAACAACAGTATGATTTGTATCTAAAGAGCAAGGTGGCACCGGATACGTATACTGCTACTGGCCTGTGACTCAGTTTGGAGTCAGAGTCCAAAATTGTGCCCCTCATTTACAGTCACGGTGATTACTCAACTTCAGAGAGAATTACCCATTTTATGGTTATCCTCTAAGAGTCATATATAAAGCAAAACGAAACAAAAAGCAGCAAATGCAATCTCTAGATACCTTTTTACAAGAGGTGCAAAAACAGTCATTTCTAACAATTAAACTGCCTTTTACAGTAGTTTTTTTTGTACACCTTGCAGAGACTCAGAAATGATAGGGGAAAATGCCCAAGGCAAATAGTCTCCAAGTGGATATTTACACAATGTGAATTAACTTTGTACTATAGACACCCAGAGGAAATGAACATTTTCTAGGTTGTTATGAAATCAAATCACCATGATAGAGCTTCATCATACTTAAAACCTGTAGGACCCCATCCCAAGCCGAAGTAAAAAGTAATCCCCCAATCCCCCCCTCCCATTCACCCATTACCTTCCTGTTACACAGAATAAATGTTTAGATTACTCCCACCCACCCTCAAATAAAGTGCACAGTCCATGGCAGACCATAGAATAATGCAACAGGAAAAGCCCCTTTTTGTGTATTATTATTTAAAAATAAAATACAAACAACAAAAATCAGACAAAGATTGAAGAGAATTCAGAGATTCTCTGCATCTTGCAAAAGAGGAGAGGCGCGAGGAGGCCCTTGACTGTCACTTGTGTTAATACACGTAGCCTTCGTTATAGGGGTGAGGGTTGCAGCAGCCCCCTTCTGGCATATAGGCCATGCTCTCGTCAAAGTGGGACAGAGGCACCGTGTCCTCTTCGTTGATATGACGCTCCATGTCTGTCTTCAGCAGTGGGCGCTGATTATCTGGAAAGGCCATGGAGAAGAGGGCTTCTGGATCACATACAAATTTGTAGACGTATCTCTCTCCAGCCACCTAAGGGAAACATGGAAGAGAAATCCCATCCTTATGTGCAGTGCCGGATGGTAACTAGACTTAGTGTGGTGAGCATTTCGCAAGAGATACAAATATCCAATCGTTGTGTTGTACACCTGAAACTAATGTGAGGTTGTTATGTCAACTACATCTCAGCTTAAAAAAAACCAACAACTCATCTTCACCATCCCAGACTGGAAGGGCAGAGAAAGAAATAAACAAAAACATGATTTAATACTCCAGAAAGGATGAATAACAAAAGAAGAAGCAATGAACTATTAACAGATAGAAAAACAATCCTCACTTTGTGGGATAAACTACGGTTCAATCGAGGGAAATGCAAAATGTTGATCTTGAGTAATAATTACATTCATTCCAGATACAGCTAGAAAGCTTAGCAGTTTGCTTGTTTTCATGTAAGTGTAAACTTACATTGCTATTTGGGAAAAAAAAATCAATGATTTCATGCAGGCATCTTCACATTACAATCTTTTCCCCTCTGTCTGAAAAGGTAATATCTATAGTACTTATAAAATAACCAGGCCTTTAAAGTGTAGTGTCTCCCTCTTAACATTATATTTCTGAAACTGTAGAAAAACTAAACTTCCAAACCTTAGAAGAAAAATGTATTGTGTTCCTAATAAGACTAGACTAGTGATTCACTGATTCGCAGGGTGAACTGTTCTTTTTTTATTTTTTATTTTCTTTTGCACTGTATATTCTCACCTGAAAAAAAAGATACATAGCCTTATTTAAACAAAAGATGGATCGAGATGTACCCAGCATTATCCTGGGTACATCACTTTTAAAAATGAAAGCAAGATGCCTTAGACAGAAGGTAAGGATGTATATAAAGTGTCAAATTGAAGTAAGAGGTGTAAGAAAGTGAAAGGAATTTAAAATACACGATGCATAGGGAGGAAATGAAAAAAAGAAATGTGACAGCTGCCTGAAATAAAGGAGAAGTGGCAATAATTTGTAGGAAATAACATGTCCCAAACTTAAATTTTGAAGAGTAATGCTTCTCTAGGAAATGATAAACAATTGAGTGGAACAAATACAGCCCTGCCCCCGCTGCCATTAATAGACAATGCTGAGCTTCTCAAAAACCCACGGTGGGGTGGGGGTGGGGGGTTGGGCAGGGCGGGAGTGGATGAATACAGTCCTTTGTATTAAGTTTGGCAGTAACTTTTTGTGTGTATGTAGAGTTCAGTAATTTTAGAAAGGTGAAAATTACTCAACTCCTCTGCTACTTGCTGTGTGACGTGGGGGTATGGTGAGTTCATAGTTTATAAACTATCTGTGCATGTTTGGGAAGAAAAAAAAAATTACCAAAGAGCACTGCTGTTCTGGACTCAGATTTAGAATGTTTTTTGCCCTGGATTTTTTTTTTGCTCTGTAAGAGGAATCAATTTAGAGAATTCAAATACTCTGAATATCCTTAGGCTTGAAAACAGCCAAGACTTAGTTTTTATGAATTTGGACATGTTTCTTAAACTGCCCCCAGTTCCCCTTTTTTTTGTGAAATGGAGTCAGGAATGGCTTCTTGGAAAGCCTGTTGCAAGACTAAGATGGAAGTCTCTAGCACAGGGCACGGCAAACAGAGGAGTCTGGCATAAATTTATTCACTTTAGTCCTTTATAAAAAGGAAATTAAGTTCGTAAAGGTGAAATGGTGAAACTGCCATAAAAGTAAAAATAGACCATATCAGAAACAAAGCTTAGCTATACTAAATCCTCGTTTCCCGTTTTTCTTTGTTCAAAGCACTTTGAGAAGAAAAATAAAATAAATGGCCTGCATACCTCAGAGCATTTAATAACCTGCTTTGTTTTGTCTGCAGCCGCTGAGAAGGAGGCATTTGCTTTAGGATACTGGAAGTTTTTTTGTACAACCTGTTGCTATTGGTTATAATTAGAAATGATTCGATAGATCACTGTGGGGAATTAAAATGTATAATATGCAATCAAGATTATAAAACCTCTTAAGGACTCTGCCTTGACTCACTGTTTTATTTTCCTTATAGTAAACATACTTAGGGCTACTACTATAATTATTGGACTATGTTAAATGCCACAAAGTTTAGAACAAGGGCTGATAACCAACCAAGGGACAGAACGTCTTCTGTTATTCAGTTATAATATGGAAAATCCCATACATTCAGTATACACAAATTGCAATGCTTAGATAGATAAAACATGAATTTTGAAAGACTAGCTATTTAAATTATGTGTTAACTTTAATACAGGGATATTGGAAGAAAATTTTAAATTACAGATTAAGCCAAAAGAAATAATAATCTGATTTTATCAACCAGAAATAACCAATGCTTAGATGTTTGTATATACTTTTCCCATCACTTCTAGTTTTGAAATTCATACATGTACTGTCTATAAGGTATAATGATCATTACTTCATTTCTTATTTCTTTCATAACTACTAAAATAATCAGGGTTTCTTTGATGCTTAGATCCACTTGGGTTTTATTTTATTCTCTAATCTTTCCATTTTATTTTCTTTTACATACACCACATACAAACAGAGGTTTAAGTTCATGAACAAGCATGGTCAGATAAACACTTTCCCCATACATTAAAATACATAATTCTACATCAGTTTTTTTCTTTTTTAAAGGACTGCATAATTTTCCTCTGAATGACTATACTAGAACTTATTTAACCATTATGTTAACAGGTAAAGATAAGATGGCAGGACATTCTAAAAAGAGTGAAGCAATGAGTCACAGGTGTGTCAGAGAGTGGCAAGTAGAACGGCTCAACACGTGGAAGGAAGAATAAGTATATGTACGTCTGTAAAAATTGTCCAAAGTCTTGATTGTTGTGCGAGTTATAAGTAGACTTCAACTTTTGCATTTTTCACCTTTAAACGACCTGGTTTTCCTTATATCATATGCAATACCCCAAAAGGCCTGTGATGTACAACATTTTGCTCTCCTATATTAGCTGACAAATCAATAGTTGCTAATAGTTTCCTTTGGCAATTACAGCCTAATAGAAAAAACATGAGGAGCCACAACATTTTTCTTTGTTTTTTCAACATCTATGCTGTCATTTGACTATTTGATAGCATCTTGCCTTATTAATTTATTAAAGAGGTAAATAAATAGGATATGTGATAACTGGATAAATAAATAGGAACATGGAAGTGGTGGTATCAGTAATAAGCATAAGTTTGAACACCTTTGAGAATATTTAAGACCAGACATGTCATCCTGAAGATACCCCCTCAAACACTCTGTCTAAAACCTGAGGTATGATTAGACATTTTACGATACTTTTTTAGCTCTCTGTGACTGCTCCATTTAGTAAGGGACTTACTGGTCAAGACACACAAGCTAAATATGCCTTGGCTTCAGGGTGTGAGATGCATTCACAGCTACCATTTGTTGAAGACTTTTGTGCCAGGTACAATGCAAGTGTCTCAAGTGCATTATTTCATTTAATAATCACAGCAGCTTCACGAGGTAAGAATACCACTGTGTAACACTGCCCAGGGGACCTGCAGAGCACCTACTGTGCCAGCCCACTTGATGTGCCCAATTAGGAAGATGGTGATGAAAATGAAAAGAATGGGATGTATGTGAAAGGGGTTGGCTGCCAATGGGAGTGGTGGATGAGAGAAAGGGAGGAATTAAAAAAGACTCCAGGGTTGAGATGGAAAAGACAGAGCAGATAGTAACTGGTTTTACATTTTGAAGGTGAGATTCAGGGAAATAGGAAGCAATTAAGAATCTAATTCAGCCTTATCTTTTAAGGATCTTCCAAGTTCTAACTCGCACGCTGGCCAACTCCAGAGCAGAGATTCCCTTTGGTCTAGAAAACTCAATGATGCTGTTTCCCTGTCTTCTAGTAAGTTTCATGCACCAACTGGTCTAGTTTTTCTTGGCAGAACCATGGTGGCATAAAACTATGCCACAATCTGTAATATACGTCTGTGTCCCCCCAAATGAACAAAGGATGCATAATAAAACTATAATGTAATATTCACGATGAATAAATCCTAAACATTGTTCACAGTCAAGACTATTAGATTGAATATGCATGCAAGGCTGAAGGATGTAACAATAACAAATACCCAAATGTTTTATCTTTATTTATTCATTTATTCATTACCTTCTTCAAAAATTTTATATTTTTTTCTAGGTGTAATTCATTGGTTTTACCTCACACCTTTTAAAAAAGCTACCTGGAAATATTAAGAGACACTCATTTGAAATAAAATAAATTTAACTTCATTATACCAATGAAATAAGATCAAATACTTATTTTTAATCAACGGTTTAAGATGTTAAGCTGTCAAGTAATGAAATCAGCCAAGAAAAAATGTTTTTCAGAATGAGAACAGGCAATGTTCTGAATGTTTTAAGAACCAGAACAAGAGGGAAAAGGTGACAATTCAGTTAGTATTCAAAATTATATACTTGTGGAGAATGTAGCAAAATATCAACGACTTCTGGGGATATATGCTTGCCATATTAGTACTAAAACAACATTTTTTTCTACCAAACACAGGAAAGTGGGGACTTCCAGAAAGTCTACTACTTTGTATATGATATTATTACACATTTGTCTATAATGCCCATGAATTTATAAACAGAAAGCCTTGTAATAGCAAAACAAACAGCTAAGCATATGTCAAAGTGGGCGAAAACCTTGCTTCAGCAGTGTAATGATATGTGGCTTTAAAGTATGACATGCAGATGAATGTGCAACATTTCAATGAATTTTAATGCTGTATTAGCTGCTCACCTTTTGCATGATTCCTTTCTCATAATAATAGCGGAGTGAACGGCTAAGTTTATCATAGTTCATAGCTGGCCTGTTTTTCTGAATGCCCCAACGCCGGGCCACCTGCCACCAAAACAGAATTACATTGTAGTGTTAAGTATAAACTTACCAACATATCTCATAAAAATTAGTTAATTCATTAATTACTTCCAAACACTCTAAAACACATCCAAATCAAAGACATAAGTAAAGACACAAAAGCTATCATGATCTGCATATCCTGTGTCCTGGTTTGCTTTTTAAACCAGGCCTTCAGTGATCACCTGAAGCCGAGGATGCTTCGCATTCTGAGGTACCCTGTTTTTTCCTTCTTATTTTTTCTTTTCAGATAAAATCTATAGATCAAGAGCGGCTTCGTGATCTCTTTGTAAAGGTGTTTTTGAGGTCATGATAAGCCAAAGGAAAACAGATATCCTGCATGACACTGAATAAAAGAGTGAACAAGTGGCACAGTGTGTACAGCAGAGGAAACAGTAGACCAATTAGTAAGCTGAACTGCAAATAATTTTTATTGCCTGAAGCAGCATCAGAATAAAATTGTAGCCAATACTACACTGGGGAATTAAGCATTCATTTAAAGAACAGTAATCAGATGCTAAAAATAAGAAGGTCTCCATGTATATGAGTCCACAGACAAAAATCTCTAAAGCAGGATATCCACTTTTGTTGTTTAGTGAACAATCTCCGAGCTTCAACAGAGCTTCAGCAAAACCTCCTTCCTCAACATATCTGTATCCCCTACCTCACCACTACCCTGGCTAGATGCAGCATTATCCAGAACAGGGTGGCCTGCTTCTACGACCCCAGCTAGAGTCACCTTCGCATTAATTTTCACTTTTGCTTCATCTGAGCAGAAACTGCAGCTGCCATGCATACCTAGGTAACCCTGAGACAACATTTTTAAATAGGGTTAGAGTTTTCCTTCATGTTCACAGAATTCCAAGTTGTTGCTACGTGTAATATACTAAAACAGAATGCTTTACAAAGAGATCATTCTGTCTCTCTCTACATCATTAGCAATAACCTTTCTACAGGGTTTTTTATTTTTTCTCTTTTAAAAACACTGATCCTTGCTATTTTCTCTCTCACTAATTTCTACTTCCTGAATGAAGATACAATGTAATTTAGTCACATATATCAGTATAATTTTTTAAGAACAGAGAGATGTAACGTCACAGGGACGTGACTATATGTCAAAACAGAGTCACTGTGACACGTACATCTTAAAGTTCCAAAGATAAACTTCGTTTTAATGTAAATGTTCTAAGCAATAGCAAAATGGGCTGATGGCAATAAGAAGTGAAAGCAATAATTTCTAAATAAAATGTCTTTTAAAAAGCTAACAATGGACATCAGTGAATCTTTAATAGACATGACAACTGAACAGCCTGCGAACCTGGAGGGGATGTGAAAATAAATTATTAGTATCTCCTGAAATTGAACAGCAATTTCTGAACACTTATGCATTTGTAAATGATACTTTTCTAGAGGCTCACCAGGAGGCACCTAGAAAGTAAAATACCTGCAACAAACTTCAAGACAACACAGTGGAAGTCTTTGGGGAGAGAAAGATGTTTTTTTAATACCATAAGCAGAGTTTGACTTTTATGATGCCAGTTAATTCTCAGCACCATGGGTATCAGTAGACATTTTAAAACAATCAAATTTATTCTTTTTTTTGTGTGTGTGGTACGCGCGCCTCTCACTGCTGTGGCCTCTCCTGTTGCAGAGCACAGGCTCTGGACGTGCAGGCTCAGCGGCCATGGCTCACGGGCCCAGCCGCTCCGTGGCCTGTGGGATCCTCCCGGACCGGGGCATGAACCCGTGTCCCCTGCATTGGCAGGCGGACTCCCAACCACTGCGCCACCAGGGAAGCCCCCAAATTTATTCTTAGAGCTGTTTCAATATCACATTCATTATAAAGTTGAGGGAAATGGATACTCATATGCCTGAGAGATGCAGACAAGTTGTGCAAGATGAAGGAATAAGATACAGAAATTTGTTGTACAGCACTGTTCCTATAGTTAATGATACTGGATTGAACGCGTACAAATTTGATAAGAAGATAGATCCCATGTTGTGTTCCTATCATGATAAAAAAATTTTAAAAGATTGCAACTTAAAATGAACAGATAAGATAAATAATTTCCAGGATAGGTTAGACCATCCAACAACTAAGAAAAGTCCACTCAGCCCTCACATATGACCACTATATCCAGCGCCACTAAAAGCCAAGGTACCAAATGTAAAACAGATAGCTAGTGGGAAGCAGCTGCATAGCACAGGGAGATCAGCTCGGTGCTTTGTGACCACCTAGAGGGGTGGGATAGGGAGGGTGGGAGGGAGATGCAAGAGGGAGGGAATATGGGGATATATGTATATGTATAGCTGACTCACTTTGTTATACAGCAGAAACTGACACACCATTGTAAAGCAATTATACTATGATAAAGATGTTAAAAAAAAAAATGCCAAGGTACCATTTTCAACATGGAGTGGGTACGATGATGGCTATACTTCCAGTAAATTCCTTTTAACACTCTTT